AAATATTTTTTTCTATTTTCCACAAAAAATTCATGATAATTATTATCAACAGCAAGAGAATATTTAGAAACAATGTGAGAAGAACTAAGTCTAGGCACAAAATTTACAAGTACGTTTTATTTTTTACGAAAAGTTTAATTTCAGTAACAAATTGTAATTATTTCTCTCGCACAAAAAAAAAAAATTGTCATTTCTTCGTAACAAGTGTATACACACGCAGTATATTCACATCTGAAAGGTTAACTTGAAAGAAAAAGAAGAGAAAAAGAAACACGGTGATTACATTTGGAAAGTAAGCGGTGAAATTTTTGAACAAAATCGAGTCCAGTGGTTCTCGGCAGGACAACGTTCGCGCGATTATGTTGCCGGCTGATTTCGAGAGCGAAAGTTCCACGCGCCACCTTCGCTCCTTTTTCGTGCCAACGCACGCGGCTATCACCGGAGGATCATCCTCTCTATAAATAACCGCGTGACTTGATGAACCATGGCGATTTCCGCAATGAAAATAAATTCAAACGGGCGTGCGTCGCCCGTCTAGGCGTAATAATTTTTCTGGCGACAGCCGACCGTTCGCCGGCCGTAAAACAAGCCATCGACCTGCATTCGAGCCAAATTGTAAACTGGCCGCCGCCGGTTTACCATCAAGCAGCGTGCGATTTCGCGATCGTTGCTACAAACTCGTCCCTGTAACGATCTCTCTCGATCGTCCGATCTAGTCTCTTTTCCTTTCCTCGAGTCTCGCGAAGTAGGTTTCTCGAGGGTTAGAGAGAAGAAAGAAAGAAAGAAAGAAAGAAAGAATGGACTGTGGCGTGTAAGAGCTTCTTGTTCGCTTGCCACGCGAGGGGAACGTTCGATCATCCGCGTCGCTCTCTCGGCTAGCTTTTTCCCTCGGTGAAAGTACGTGATCGCGCGTGATTTTCCAGAAATTCCACCAGCCTCTCCAGAAAGATCATCGCGCGACGTGCCGACGTTTCACCCGTCGTCGCGATGTTTCGATGACTCACGCTCACCTCGCCACTTTCGTCCGTTGCTGCTACTCCGCGAAGTGATCGGTGACTCGGCCAGCAATCGGCGAGGATCAACGAGAAAGCAGAGGCCTCTTCTCCTCGTTTCGATTAATCATCCTGTCTGGCAGCTTCGCTCGACTCGACGCGAGATCGTTTCGTTTCGCGTGATCTCCGCTGGAATCGAAGAACCGAAGAAGATGAGGACCGAAGGTAAAGGGTCAAGGTAGAGGTTCATCCTGAACGACAAACTCCGAAGGCGTCACACGACGCCGACGTTGCTCTCGGGCAGCAGGATGAGTCCGAAGGGGCCAGGTAGTCAGGAGGGCCCGAAGATGGAGGTGAGGGTGTCGTGCGTGGCGACGCCGGGCGCGGAGCCTCAGGGGATCCGAGTGAAGATCCCCGAGCCGAAGAAACGTCCCACCAGCCCTCTGTTCGACGATCCGATGCGCGCCAGGTGTCCCTCCGTGCCCGAGAAGGATCTCTACAAGAAGGCCGTGTCGTTGGATCGTCGTGACAGGTACCCGACGTTGTCCGGCGCCGAGATTAAAAGAGGACTGATCCCCGGTGGCGTCGACGTCCCCCGTACCACCAGGAGGAACCCGATGCTCGATCGGAAATATCGGTTTCCAACCATATCCGGCGCGGAGCTGAAACGCGGCCTCGCCGTCGGCAAGTGTCCTTTGGAGGACGGGCTGGATCTAAGCCTGGCACCCTGGCCGGGCATGAAGTGGGCCTGCGTCAGGGTGTTGCATCTGTACTGCAAGGTGTTCGACCAGTTCGAGCTGTTCGAGCTGATTGTTAGGTAATTGTGAAGGCGAGCCGGTGTGAAACTTTCGTTTGTGGAAAACAGGTGAACAACCAGCCCTGTTTACGATTTCGACGGGATTAAAAAGTGTATATGTAAAATTCAGGTTTAAATTCGAGCTTCGTTCGACTTTCTCGATGGTTCTCGAGTACACATATACACCACTTTCCCCGACCCCGACCCCGACCCCGAACGCACGATGGCACACGATGGTTAATATTTGCCCCTCTCAGAGACACGTGCCATCGCACGCGGTTGATAGATCGATTTACAGGCGATGCCTGACACCTTTCACGGACGTTTAGCAATCCCAAGGCAGAGTGTTTGCCCCGATAAGATCGCGACCAATTAAAATTCTAGAGGTCCATTAGCGTCGGGGGGCGCAGCGTAAATATGATTAACCGGCATTAGCAGGCAGACGAAGTCCTCTCTGCCGATGGTTCGTCGGTTTCGCGGCTTGGAAAGTCGGATCGAAGCTAGTCACGTCGTTGGAGCGCTTCTTCTCGCGACGAGCGCGAGGATTCTCTTTCGCTTTTTCCACGTTTCACGCGCGTTTCCCTCTCTTCCTCACGCGAGACGCCGTAGAAATGCAGCTGGTCGATCGCGAACATCGCGCGACACGCGCAATTCCCCCCCGATTCGCAGAGGAGACGCATGCAAATCGAATTAACGTCGTTTAACGAGTTTGTAGTACGTGCACGCGCCATCGTAGCCACGTCAACGCGACCGTCTCCACCGTCTCGCGATGTCGAGCGATTGCAAACTCGGCCCGACGACGATTCCTGAAGGAATCTGGTTCCGATTTTCTCGCGACAGAGCCCCGCGTTTATTACGAGTCGACTTGCGCAGTTCTACGTCTTTTTTTTTCTTCTCGTCCATCTTGGAATCGTCCGTAAATTATTCGGTTAAATTTTTTCAGTTCGACATGTCTTTCACGAACGACGAATCTCCTCGTCGTTTGATTCGCCTTGGTCGAACCTTCTAACCTAGTCAAAACGAACGAAATGAATACATCGTCGGTATTATCGATTCGCTTTCAAGACACGAAGAAGCTGAGGAAGCTTCTGGTTCGACCGATAAATGAAAGAAAAAAAGAAAAAAAAAGAAACGAATAAAATTTGAAAAAAAGAAAGCTTCGGACCGAGAAATCATTCAAAGATATTAAGTAGCTCGCTTTCAAGAATTACGTAAAACAAGCGATAAAAATATTCCTTTTCTGCTTTTCGATTGTTTCCAGAGCGCGCGACAGCTTTGAAGTTTAAACCACTCTGACAATTGGCAAATAAGATTCGATTGGGAAGAAGCGCGTTTCTTTCAACAAACCGAGCGTGAATGAAAAACGACGGAAATTCTCCATTTTCGCGCGTGTCGCGGTGTGTCAGCGAGCGTTCACGTGGGCAAAGGAAAACGAGCGTGTCGCTGGGCGAATCAGCTGGAACCATTCTGAGATAGCACGGGCCATGAATTCGAATGAATTACGGCCCACAGGCGGAGTATTGCGTTTCACGTTCGCGGAGTTAACGAGGCGTCAACGTTAATTTGCGTCCACCCTCCGATGCCAGGACGGGTCCACAGTATCAGACTCTCTCTCTCTCTCTCTCTCTCTCTCTCTCTCTCTCTCGTAATGGCACGAAGTGCGGGTGAGAGATTCAACGTTATCGTCCCCCTCTCGACAGGAATATAAAAGGGACGAGCGGTCTCCGAGTAACCGCGACAGTTCTTTATCGCTCGCGAGCTCATTGTCAACGGCAAAGTTACGATCCGTTGCTAAACAAGATGACCGCCGATGTCATTACGTCTTGACATTACGGCCGCGACATTATGAAAAACGTCCTCCCCGGAGAAGAGGACGTTAACTTCACAAAGGTTGAAATCTCGTCGTTTCTCTAATTATCGGAGAGAGGGAGGGAATATTACCGTGGAGATCGATATGAGCGGTCACGTAAGAGAAGGCCGATGCTCCACCTTTTACGAACTTTCGATCGTGCTTCCAGAGACGATACACGAGGGAAGCTCTCGATGAACTAGTTTCGTCCCCCCCTCCCCACCCCCGTAGAGAAAATTTACGTATCTTTTTTGGTCGAAAGAGATACGGTGTCAAGTTGCTCAAGACGTTTTCGCTCGTTCTTGAAATCGCGCTCGTACGAAACCCGATTTTATGGCCGGCCCATTAATGCGTCGGCCGGCACACCGTTAAATTTAACGAGCTCTCCTCCGCATCGATCTTCGCCTGATGTTGCCTCCCCCCGTTCACTCCCCGTAAATCGGATTTCGTAGATTTACGAGCGATTCGCGATTTATCTCTCCATTTTTCTCTTCTTCCTCGTTTCATTTTTCTCTCTCGCCCTCTAGCATCGTGACGAGTGCTCGTTGTCGTTTGCGGAAAGGAAGGAAAGGGAGGGCTCGTGCTAGCATCGCTGTCCGACCTTGTCACGCTGACACATCCGGAAGGGTGCGGTGGAACGGCAACGCGGGGCAAATGCATCCCCTTGATTACGCGGTTGACGTTCGATCCGGCCGTTAGCATGTCACACGTGGGCAGCGGGAATTAGAATCGCCACTTTTTGCGCAATCAACCCTTTCCACGTGGGATGTTTTCCCTTCACAAAGCTTTACTCTTTGCTCCCGCTCCCTGGGCGGGATTGAAACCAAAAATCGTGGCTTTTTTCTTTTTTACGCATTCATCGGGGAACGTTAGATTGCAGCTGATCGAGAGCTGGTATTTCGGTGCTTGTTTCGAAAGTTGAGACTTGCAAGCCGAGCTTGGAAACGTTGGAAACGGGGACACGGGTCCGAAAGGAAAAGGAACGCGCGTGTTTGCATTAATTAGACGATCGGCAGGAAGCGCACGGCGCTCGAGCGTTGCAATAAAACTCGATTAGAGGCTCTATCGGGAACGTCGAGGCGTATACACACGTATAGGCGAGTTAATGAAAGATCGGGAACAAATATTTAGCATCCTCTCGGTTTAATAGATACGTTCGCCCGATACGAACGAGGGTTTACGTCGGCGCGCGTTCGTCCCACATACAAGCCACAGGGAAACTAAGGCAGTGTTTCCTAAACGGGAGACGGGCATTAATCTTGCCGCTCGATACAACACGAGCAGAAATTCCCGAGTGTGCATCATGAATGATGCATGACTTTCCAAAGTAACGAGTCGCTGAGACATTCTTTCTCCTTTTCAGAAAGAACTGCACCAGTTGCAAGTGCCCGCGTGAGGCGCACGATGTGTGCCACGAGGAATGGGCGTCGGTCAGGTCTCGTTTGGGCCTGAAAGGCGAGGAGTCCTCGCACCCGATCGTTTTCGACCCGAGGTCAAAGGGCCTCGCCTGGGCACCTCCTGGCCTACCAGCTGAGAAGGTGGGTAAATCGACGTCGTCTCTCCACTCTGCTCCGCGCCCCATCCAGTAATCGTTTCCTGCTTCGTTCCTGTTTAACCTCTCGCGCTGGAACGACGAAAGGAAAAAGAAAGCGACGAATTATTGCACACGGTTCGGTCACTCGTTACGGTCCGCAATCAGTCTGTCAGCGCAAGGGGTTAAAATAAATAATATTTTGAACGAACTATCCTTTCTAGCGTACGAAATACTATCGAATACTATCAAATAGCATTGAATTACTATTTTAAACAAACTATCCTTTTTAGGATGAAATACAAATATCGAAATAATTAACCTCTTGTGCCACGCACGTCGAGAAGTTTTTCTCCCAAATTGCAAAATTTTCTCTAAGTTCTAAGTATATTTGAATGTAACACAGGCAAAACAAATGATAAGTTTGTTACTTTTTAATAATTTCTATCCAATGACGTCATACCGACGAGTTTAAAAGAAAAGGAAAGCGACAAATTATTGTATACGGTTCGGTCACTCGTTACGGTCCGCAATCAGTCTGTCAGTGCAAGAGGTTAAAATAAATAATATTTTGAACAAACTATCCTTTCTAGCGTACGAAATACTATCGAATACTATCAAATAGCATTGAATTACTATTTTAAACAAACTATCCTTTTTAGGATGAAATACAAATATCGAAATAATTAACCTCTTGTGCCACGCACGTCGAGAAGTTTTTCTCCCAAATTGCAAAATTTTCTCTAAGTTCTAAGTATATTTGAATGTAACACAGGCAAAGCAAATGATAAGTTTGTTACTTTTTAATAATTTCTATCCAATGACGTCATACCGACGAGTTTAAAAGAAAAGGAAAGCGACAAATTATTGTATACTGTTCGATCTCTCGCCAGCGCAAGGGATTAACCGTCGCAAATCGCCCAAGGAATATTCAACAAACAATAATCGTGACACGTGAAGTTCAACAATTGTCGACAGTTATCTCAATTGCGCAAGGATCGTCTATACGATCCAACTTTTTAGCAATCGAACGCGATAAAGAATGGGATTTTCTGCAGGCACTCGCGCGCGTTATCGTTACAAGGCTTGCAAAGATTAGGTCGAACGAACTGAAAATTCACGGTTGAAAATTAAACTCGTCCAGTCAGGAAATTTCTGATAGGAAATGGCCATTTTAATGCCATCGTCGGAAACATCGTATAACGCGTTCGCGCAACAGTCGAGTGGCAGCCGGTTTTGCAGTTTTCAATATTTTCCAAAATACTCGGGAGTATATTAACAATTGCTGGCCTTTATCATTAACGGATGCTTTATCTCTTGCATTTCTCGCTAGTCACTCGTGTTTATCAAATAATTTTCTTATCTCACGTTGAACGAGACGCGTGAATTTTTGATCCGACGATCTCATTCGAGACGAAGCTATACGTCGCTAAGCTGCATTCTACCTCGTTACAGGTGGAGGAGTATTTCTCGATGCTGCCAGAAATATCCGTGCCCAGGTTAGGCACGCCTGGTGAACGATACAGGGACCGACAATTGGCGATTCAATTGCCTAAGCAGGACTTAGCCACAGCTTATTGTCGCCATTTGAATCCGAAACACGTCAACAGCGCCGACGACTTTATGACGGCAAGGAACGAGATCGCGTTGGACATCGGAAGCGTGCAGGAAATACTCGAGACAGATATCGTGAGTTTCAGCGCGGATGTCGTTGCTCTGCGATGTCGTACCATTTTATCGCGTGAAAAACGTAAAATTCTCGCTTGTTCTCGTAGAAGCCGTTCTGCGGCGCGTGTGACTCGCTGTTGTCATATGGCAGTCTCGTCGTGTCAGCGAGCAAGTTGGAGCTCTTCTATCATCCTGCCTGTTTCCGGTGCACAGAATGTAAGGAACTTCTCGTTGATCTCGCCTACTGCGTCCACGACAACACTCTGTTCTGCGAGAGGCACTACGCCGAACAGCTGAAACCCAGGTGCGCGGCTTGCGACGAGGTAAGTCTCTGCGAATCTCGACCCTCTGCGACGATTAATGGCAACGTTTGAGTCGAGGAAATGAAGTAAGAGAATCGAGTAAGAGAAATGAAGAGATTTTTCAATTTCGCGCTCGAACGAGAATCAACGACAGTAGTACCGGCTGTGTCTGGTCAGACGAGCTTACCGCGTAGCGCCGGTAAGACAGCGATCGGCCGTACCGAAACGTCTTTATCTACTGAAATCTCCTTTATCGACGGTAGAGGCTCGCTAACTCTTCGATACATCGAAACGAATGTCGATGCACGCTTCGAATTCCCACGCGGGAAATCTGCAGTGTTCGCGAAGATAAACGATAATCTCTATTTTTTTTTTTTTTTTTTGTGTGTTAATATTTACGAACCAGCAGCGAGACTGGTTCGTTTCTCTCGCGGTTTTTCCATCTACGGTTACGATCCAGAGAAAGAATGAAAGAAACTCGCGCAACTGTTTCGCAAAGGTTTCATCTCGTCGGCAACGGATTACTGTCGCATTGAGAAAATTTGAAATTTCATCGTGTGACCCAAATGCGCGCAGTCAGCTGTCAAGGTACACATAAATCGCGATTCGTGCCAAGCTCAGGCCGGTTTACAACTCGTAAGTGTACGCGTACCATCGCTTACGAGCTTACCGACGATTTATCGTCGACATTGACGGGAATGCCGCAAATAAATTTCCATCGAATAAAATGTAGTACAATTTATTCCGTATCACGATTCTCTTGCGCCTGTGCGGGAGAGCGTCGAACAATTTATTCCAGCGAGAAACCTCTTTGTTTCCTCTTCGGAAGCACCTTGTTATTCTCCGTGAACGGTCTGAACGTCGATCGTAAACAAATCTAACTGCTCTTAAAATACTTGGAACACGATGATATTAAGTATCGCGCAGTCACGAGGCGTTGTCTCGCGCATCGCGCGGGAACTGGGCCGCTTTCGGCTTTATTTAGACAGGACGGAAATAGGAATCGTGCAAGATAGAAGCCGAACACATCGGTACAAGCACGTTTGTCATCGTGGCCACTGCGCAATGCGAATCATGTTGCAGTAACGAATGTCCGAATTGGCCCCGGATCCGTCCTTCTATTCATCTCGATTCATCGCTGACTCATTTTTGATACACATTTGCAAACGTTGTTCAGATCAACTCGTGCATTCGCGTTCCTCGAAGGGAAGACTGGAACGATCAAACAACTTTTGCCAGCATTTTCTTTTTTCATTGAATCGGTCTGATTCGATGAAAAGATCTCGAATATTCTCCGTTCGAGTCGAGAAGCTTCGAAGCTTGGAACGCAGCTGAACGGAGATGTCGCGACGCCTCAGCTGTCACAATTTGTTATCGCTTCTCTCTCGTTCGTGTAACGCGTTCGAATTGGTTTCCTTCCAACCGGAAACCCGACGTGTTCAACCGTACCTGCGGCCGGTCGGTAATCTATTTTGATTTCTTGTCGAAGCTCCCACCACGGATCGGTGTCCAGACACACCGAGAAGACCGTTCCCGTCTTTTCTTAGAGTCAGTCAATTGGAGGCGAACGAAAGGCCTAGCAAACCACAGAGAATAAGCCAAGCAACTGCTGGTTCTTCCTCTCGTTCGATCGGAACAATCTCGGTCGCGTTTGCCGCGAGTTCGTACGTGCGAGATCGCGTTCTTAGATTTTGTTTACGCAGCAGCGAAAGGTGGTTGCTCGAGTTTCGGTAAGTGAAGTGAGCCACAATCAGCCACACACGAGAACCACTACCCCCGCTGAGGACAACGACTCGATCCCCCAAACGACTCTGTGATCGATACTCTCTCTCTCTCACACACTCTCTCTTTTACTCCTGTATTTGAAAATAAAAAACAAAAAACGAATTACAACACGCATTACACCCATTACACCCTACCCAACTACTCGATTCTTCAATCACCTCTTCAAATTTACAACGAGAAGAGACACGCGTGACGAGTGTAGGGTCGCGAGGCTCGAGCATCATCGTCGATCATTACGGAAGACGTTCTGAGCCTCCGACGGGAGACAAACGGCCTTTATAGAAAAGCGTGTCGTAACAGTGACGCAACGAATCGTTATAGCATCGCTGCTGTAAAATTCTACCGCGTTGTCTATTTCGGGAGCGTCGCGGTTCACGTGCTACCGCCGTCTACTGCGCAAAAATCGCCTCTCGTGACACCGTTTGACCGCCGGCGTGCTCCTCTACTATGCTTGACCGCTCCAACTTGCTCTAGAAATGTCGCAGATCGACCCCTTCTCGCTCTCGCATTCTTTGTTTAATCGTCTCTAGCTAGAAAACAAAAAACACGTCCGAAGTGATGGAAGGCGAATGATGAAACACGCTGCTAAGCGTACCCTCCTAAATCTCGTTTGATTTATCGTCGACGTCGAGACTAATATTGTTTCGCGTCGATTCGAGAGACAGGAACTTTCGAATGTGATTGAACTTTATTTGATTTTCGGTTAGATATGTCTTTCTTCCCGTAGAAATTTGGTCGGGCAAACTTTTTGGAATGCGTCGGATTCAATCGGTCGTGCGCGAGAGCGATTTCGAAAATAGCGCGACGCTGTTGCAACGCGAAGATGAATGGCGTGAATCCGGGTCACCGGAGTCAACCGTCAAAACTACTCAAACGAGAAACTAGTGTCATCCAAGACGAGCAAAAGTACAGTACAATAATCGACGGTACAGTGTTCTACCTAGGTCTTTGCACTCGACAAACAGCTTCCACATTTCTTAGACCAATGTATTTCTCGCGCCTAGATTCATCCTAGGACGAACTGCAGATCGATCGATCGGGAAAATTTAATTAGCATTCGCGTTGAAACGGCAGAGCACAACGTGTAGAAAATCTAGGAGAGAAAAGCCCGTTCGCAAGGCAAACACGATGATAGCATCGACGAAGCGTCGAACGTTGGCTATTCTCGGGTTAATGAGTCATTATCGAAAAAGGTACATGCACCGAGCTGTATCGCGTAAACGCGCGGGCGCCTGCGCGACAGACATCCGATACAACCCGGAACGGATGAATGTCTAACGATGAAGCTTCAGTTTCGTTTCACTGAAAATTCTCCATTCTGCGCGCTTCGTTTCGCCAAGTTTCACGCGAGATGATTAATTTCAATTGGAACGAAGGCTTCGGTACTAAGGTACCAAATCTTTGATCCGAGAGTCGCAGGTTGAAAGTTTGTTCGCGGCGGTTGCTGATCGTGGTGCCTGGCACCAGGTGGAACGAAGGGAAGGTCGCCCTGGGAACACCGTGGGCTGTAAAGTTTTCAGCGGTCTAATTCGGTCGGGCTGGCGAAGTGGCTTCGCTAGAGATCCGGTGGCACGCTTTTCTCCGACCGTGGCACACACGTTCGTTCGATCATCGACCGAAATAACATTGGCATTGTTCCGTTTCCCTCCAGAGGAACCGGCGTTCGTGGCAATCCGGTCGATTAATTTCGACTAATTTCGATTAATTTCGACCATTCGCCACACCGCTGTCGTCGTACCTTTCGTTTGAATTTTCACGTGTCGAATCGATTCGCCACTCTCGTCCCCACGAAACCGACCTCCGCGTACAAATTCGAGCGGAAGGTCAAGGTACAATTCAAGGTTCGATTTCTTTGCCGAACGTTTCATGACGTGGTTCGTGACTGGAGAGAGAGAAGTTTAAATTTGGAATTACAAATATTATATATCGCTTAGTTCACTGCCAGAGGGAACCTTTTCGTGAATCAGAACTGTTTGTCACAATGCTGTTGACAATTGCGTCAGAGGAAACTAGGCGGAAGGAGGAGGAGAAAATTGATTTTATTTCCGTCGAGACGTTTGTTATTCCGCGTGCCAGGTGTCCACGAAACGATACGAGCTACCATTTACTCGAGTTTTCATTCGGGAGCGGGCACTTCTCGCGAGACGTCAGCACTTTCCTCCGTCGAACAGAGAACGATAACATCTCTGCCTTGGTTATCGGATTCTCGGTTGTGTACTTTCCATTCACAAGCCGTTCGGCTCAATTAGCTGTTGAAATTACGCGAAAAACCAACTCGCTCGTCCAACTCGTCCGAAATAGATTTAACGCGCGAAACGAGTGTGTCGAACGAGGCAGAGGGCAAAGCTCTCGTTCGTGCCGTCGAATCCTGTTTTACCCACCGGAAATAAAAACACTCGTAACGCAAATGACAACGTAAATAACTTTTACGTTAATTCCCCTCGGGTGGGAATCCACTTATTCGTATTTATGCGATAAATTAAACTGAAAGTCGCGCAGCTAGCAAAATTTTTTCCGATAAATCGCGTCGAAAAGTGACGCCATCGTGATGTCACGCGATAATAAGATTTGAAATCTTATCAATCCAGCAATGTTCTTCGCGACGTGACTCATCGATTTCTATCGCTTTAGTACGTTGATAGACAAAAGGAAAGACGATTTTTAACCCCTTGCGCTGGCAGACTAATTGCGGACCATAACGAGTGACCGAATCGTATAGAATAATTTGTCGCTTTCCTTTTCTTTTAAACTCGTCGCTATGACGAAATTATTAAAAAGTAACGAACGGGTTGCATTTAAATATGCTTAGAACTGAGAAAATGTTGCAATTTAGGACGAAAAAATTCTCGACTTGCGTGATACAAGAGGTTAATTATTTCGATATTTGTATTTCATACATCCTAAAAAGGATAGTTTGTTTAAAATATCAATTCAATGCTATTTGATAGTATTCGATAGTATTTCGTATGTTAAAAAGGATAGTTTGTACAAAATATTATTTATTTTAATCCCTTGCGCTGGCAGACTGATTGCGGACCGTAACGAGTGACCGAACCGTATACAATAATTTGCCCCTTTCTTTTTCTTTTGAACTCGTCGGTATGACGTCACTGGATAGAAATTATTAAGAAATAATAAACTTATCACTTGTTTTGCCTGTGTTACATTTAAATATACTTAGAACTGAGAAAATTTTGCAATTTGTGAGAAAAAATTCTCGACGTGCGTGGCACAAG